AGCTCCACCAGCTAATCACTTCTCTTTACATGTCAACCCTTCCATCGTGAAGGGCTTTTTTTCACCTCTTACCCAAGCTTACCTGAGATATGATGCTCAGGCTTCATTCCCACATCTCACTTTGCTTCTAAAGGCAAGCTCCCTGTTCCTTTGCAGACAGAGGCCTCATAGAGTACTAAAGAAGAGATGGAAAGCTCTGGTTAGAGCTAGAGAAGCTGGCTTCACTCTACTTAGTACGGTTGACCTGGCTGCATTACACAGCTTCTCTGTATTTCTTCTTTGTCTATAAAATGGGAGATAACAAAGACTGTTTTGTAAGGTTGGACACATTATATTGGCTGTTGCAGTGAAGTATGAAGAAATCATGCCTGGCACATGATAATGGCCCAGAGATAGTAGCTAATAGTAGTGTGACTGTTACCATCAGTTCTCCTTGTCAGGAGGCAGACAGGAGAGAATGAAACAGTAGCCTATCCTTAGACTATCTTTAGATGTGGACGCCCCAGGTTTAGGCCCTGCCATTTGCTAGCCTTGGTATCTTGGGCAGTCAGTTTCATTTTGTAGACTTCAGTTTTCTTCTTCTTCACTCAATGAGAGTAAGGTCAGGAACTTCCTCCAAAGGCTTCCTGAGAGTCAGGAAGATGTTGAGTATGTGTTAGATGGTGCCTGGCAGAGCCATGACAATAGGACTTGGCAGAAGAGGACACCCACCTTGAACCTTGTCCAGCCCCAAAGCCAGAGATCCTCTAACTGGTTGGTTTCCCCCCATAGGGCTGCAGACACTGTGTGCACCCCAGCTGTGGGATTTGAAAGTCCCTTCTCAGCTCCTGTGTCCCTCTCCCAACTGCCTGGTATGTGCAAGTCCAGCCAAAACACCACCCCCCTGGCTTCCACCCTTCATCCCTTCCACAGCTCAGCCTACATATCTTCAACACAGGGTCTCTCCACTGAGCAGAGCATAGACCGCTCTGTTCAGCCTACAGGAGGTCAGCAGAGTATCACCAAGGCCCCGTACCACACTGTGGCTCCCCTCACACAAGCTTCGTGGATGCTCAAGGATGCTGGGAAAGGGACCACCCCATCCACTACCAACTTCATAGCAAGTGACAGCAACGGGAATGGTCCACCCAGAGCTGCCAGCACCGCAGGGTCAGAGCGTGGAGAGCATGCTGACAGGCTCAGCCTTGAGCCTGGTACCTCGCCTGCCTCTCTGCCTCTGACCAGCAAACACCGTGATCCATTCCCTACTTCAGGGAAGTCCACAAGCACATCTCAGCCTCACCAGAGGACACAGGGTCCTCATCTGAGTACTCAGGAGGTTAAGATTCCAGTCTTCCTGTTGGATGATGACTATGAGGAAGAGGAGGGGAGCAAGGAAGAGCTGAGAGCCACTCACCAGAATGTTCTTTGTGATTACCATCCCTGCAAGCATCTGCAGACCCCGTGTGCAGAGCTACAGAGGCGCTCCCGGTGCCTCTGCCCTGGCCTCAGCAGGGAAGACACCATCCCAGACCCTCCGAAGCTACAGGCCGTGTTGGAGATGACAGACTCATCAGCCCTCATCCACTGGTGCGCCCCCAATTCAGTGGTGGTTGGATACCAGATCCACTACTCTGCAGAAGGCACAGCAGAGAACCATTCGGTGGTGGACATCTATGCCACCGCCAGGCAACACCCCCTGTATGGGCTCTCACCAGGCACCACGTACCATGTGTGCGTGCTGGCCGCCAATCGGGCAGGCCTGAGTCTACTGCCAGCCTCGGGCTGGAGGAGGCCATGTACCACCTTCACCACCAGGCCCAGCTCCCTGGGCATCTTCGCTGGCCTGTGTGCCACCAGCGGCCTGCTTCTGGTCAGCACCCTGGTGCTAGCCCTGTGTCTCTGCCGACAATGCCACACACTCAACAGGCAAAACTCTGACACACCACTGGTGGCCTTCAAAAACCACCAGTTTTTTGGAGCTACTAGGGATGTAGTTCAGTGGTAGAACACTTACCTAGCGAAGCATGAAGTCCTGGGTTGATCTTTGGCAGCCAGACCAAACAACAAACCACTGAACTCCCAGACCATCAGTGAGCCCAGCTCCCTTCTAGTAGAACTGGATCTGCATGCAGAAAGGAAGCTAGAGGATCCCAAACTGGCCCCCTCACCTCTAATTCCCCCAAAGCCAGTAGGTTGAGGGCACAGGTGAAGCCATGCTGCTTCTCTGGCCAAGGAACCTTTTCTTTCTCTTCTTTTTTCTTTTTCTTTTGTTGGTCATGGGGCTTGAACTTGGGGCCTGGGTGCTGTACCTGAGCAATTTTTGCCCAAGACTAGTGCTCTACCACTTTGAGCCATAGTGCCACTTCTGGCCTTCTGGTGGTTAATTGGAGATAAGTGTCTCATGGGCTTTCCTGCCCAGCTGGCTTGGAACCATAATCATCAGATCTCAGCCTCCTGAGTAGCTAGGATTTACCAAGTGTGAGCTGCCAGTGCCCAGCTCAACCTTCTCTTCAACCTCACTGTTCCAGAAACCTGATGGTGAATACCAGACACTCCCGTTGGCTCCTGGCACTCTGATCATCTTTTGAAGCAGTTGGTGCCCCTTGGGATCGAATAGAATAATCTAGAAGTAGATGATAAACAGAGCATTAACAATCCAAGCTCTTCCCCATGTGGGAAGTGATAACTTTCTTTTCTCATCTTACAGCCAAGTTCTTTTATGGTCAAGCTCTAGCCTTAGTATGTTCTGGGGCAACCAGTGGTTTTCCTTGGGCCTTCTGGGTTTATTACTTGCATTTCACAATATGGCACAACACGGACTTCAGCTTTACACTTAAAACAGATCTTCTAATACTTGTGACACAGGAAATGGCTGTTTTGTTTAAACATCAGCACCTATTTTACTTCATCTGACAAAGGTACTACATAATGAATACTTTTTTTTCTTAAGGAAGCCTAACAAACTCACAGCAAGAACGTTAAAACAAAAATTTTTGATTATTTTTAATAGGGTGAAAGGCAAAAAGAGAACTTCAGGGTCTAGCCAGAAGTCAGAGCATCTTGGCTGGGGGTTCCAACACCTTCGTAAGTCTATAAAATTGCAATTAGAGCTATATTTCTAGATTTCAAATGTTCTACTTAGGATTTGTTAATAATTCTCCCGTGGCTATTAAAAAACTGACCATGAACTAAGAGGCTTCAAACGACAGAAACTTCTTACACCACCTCAGGCCAGAAGCCTGAAATCAAGACTAATCAGCAAGGCTGGTGCCTCTCACAGGCTGAGGGAGAGTTGAATGTGTGCACACCCCTTTCCTAGCTTCTGATGCTTGGGAGCAATCCTTGGAGCATCTTGGCTTGCAGACATGACCCCTACTTACACCTCAGCCATCTCTTGGTATTTCTTCCAAAGGTCCCATTCACGGAAGCTAGCTAGGTTCACACGTACCATTTTGGGATGATACAATTCAACCTACAACAACACTGATTTGTATCCTAAGGACGTCAAATTTGAATTCCAGGTATCTTGTTTCCAAACCACACTGCAGCATGAACATCGTACTGCAGCATGAACACTGTATATGAAACAGCATAGCCAAGCTTGGCATGAAGACTGAGCAGTACTTTTAGACATTTGAGGGTTGTTTTTTTTTTTTTTTTTCCAGGTGATGGTGGGGCTTGAACTCAGGGCTTGGGCACTGTCTCTGAGCTCTTTGGCTCAAGTCTGGCGCTCTACCATTTTAAGCCACAGTGCTACTTCCAGTTTTTTGAGTAGTTAATTGAAGAGTCTATGGGGACTTTTCTACTCTGGCTGGCTTCGAACAACAATCCCCAGATCTCAGCCTCCTGAGTAGCTAGGATTACAAGCGTCAGCCACTGGCATCTGGCACATTTGATGCTTTGAAAAGACTTTTCAGAATTCTAGTGTGTAGTCCTAAGTACATCACAGAGACTTGGATGAGGCAATTTAAAGGATGTTTCTGCTTGAAATTACTAAAATCCCAAAATGCTTAGTGCTAAATCCTCATACAGATATTAGATGATACCAAATGTTTCACCTTACTGAGTCTGCACACACTGGAATCATGTATCATGTCGAGTCTATATGCACAAATGTACATTTGAACATGCCCAATTTAACATAGTTTCAGTATGTTTTATAAACTAGCAGAATTTGTGTTGCATAACAATTCAGTATTCAAGACTTGGCCCATTTTCCTAGAGGTACAGGAAGAAAAAGTCTACTTACCACAGTCAGACTGCCTTACAGGCACAACCCATATGTCCCTCCAGATGGTATCAACACTAAGTCATACATAACAAAGCACAAAGTTCTAACTTTCCCCTTGACTACTCCCAAGTCTTCCTCATTTTTTTTCTTTTTTGCCAGTCCTGGGGCTTGAACTTAGGGCCTGTGCGCTGCCCCTGAGCTACTTTGTGCTCAAGGTTAGTGCTCTACAACTTGAGCTACAATGCAACTTCCAGCTTTCTAAGTAGTTTATTGGAGGTAAGTTTTATAAATTTTCCTGGCTTTGAGACACAATCCTTAAATCCCAGCCTCCCAAGTAGCTACTTCTATAGGCATAAGCCACCAATACCCTGCTCCAATCTTCCCTTTTAAAACGTTTTCATGGGCTCATACTTCACTAGTGCAGACTCCCTGAGCGTACCCTCCTGGATGGCTCAGCAACAGGCTCTGGCCTTTAGTGCCTCCAGCTGAGAGTGCACATTCTCTCAGAGAGGGGAGAGGGAGGGCAAAATCTCACTGTTTGATTCTGCACTCCACTTGGGATAAACCAGACAATGGGCAGCAAAGTTGCTACTGCTAAAAGGAGCTATGAAGCTCTGTATCTCCCTCTACCCAAAAAGGAGGGACAGCAGTGTCTTCTAAGTTGGACGATCCTAAACCAATTACTTTTACAATGTAAGTACAAGTGATGCACTTGAATGGATGTCATGAAACACAGAAGAGCAGATAAACATGCAACACAGAACCCAAGTTGAAAAAATTTTTTCTAGCTTTTATTCCTTAACATCTTAACAAAAGAATATTGCCCAAAGTTTAAAAAACCTTTGAAAAATATACAGTTTTGTATTATTTACACAACATATGGGTACAGGTTTCAAAATCATAAACATTGCTACCTTAGAAACACAGTGGGAAGGTAAAATGTAACTCACTGCCTTTCAGATGCAGAGTGATAAATATGTTCTCACATTTCAACTGCCTTTGTTCTTATCCTGATAAATTATAGGGTACCTGAGAGGTTGGAAGACTAATGATGAACTCAAACACCTTCGATCTTGTTTGATCTTATTTTCAGATTTAAAACTTACTACATTTTAAATCTCTTTACAACTTCATAAAGTAAAGCTAAGCTAGCTTTATTCTCATTATTCTAGATGATCTAATGTGAACCACATGAACTATGCCTGTGTCTACAGACCTAAAACTCAAACACTCAAACATATAATGAAGTCGTGTAAGATAATATATTCCCACTGCTTTGAAAACAACAGAAATTCCACTTAGAGAAATGTCAATTCTTCAGTCTCCATGCTGATTTCTTTAAAAAAAAAAAAAACAAACACATAAAACAGGCAGACAATAATTGGAATAAGTCAATTATAAATTATTCAAGAAAGCTAAGATTAAAAATTCTAAATTACAGTTTTATTTGTATTTAAAAATACACTGGAAATTCTGCACATGCCCATGATCAAGCTTATTTTCAATGTACACTACTTCAATTTTGATGACATGGTTTGTTCTGACAAGTCCCTTTTCAAGCTGAACACCAAAACAGGGTAACTCCTGTAGATTTCCACTGGGGCTGCTGCCGATGATGTACACTGCTTCCTTGCTGATGCTGGTGGGTGATTTTCATGTGCCTTTTATCACCTGAACAGTTTTTCGACCATAATGATAGTAGCTGTAACCAGATGCAGCTGTGGTAAAAGCTGTACAGCACCTTTTATGAAAGGAAACAAACAGGATTTGGTTGTCAAACTAAAAGCTTTAACTATAGAACCATAATGTAAATAAAATCATATAAGGGCTAGGATATAGCTCAGTGGCAAAGCAAATATCCTGGGTTCAATCTCCAGTACCAAAAGAGGTAAAAGAACAAACAAAAATCTTACATAAGTCAGGCACTGGTGGCTAATGCTTGTAATCTGAGTTACTCAGGAGGCTGATCTCTAAGGATTGTGGTTCAAAGCCAGCCCAGGCAGGAAGTCTGTGAGACTCTTATCTCCAACAAACTTCAACAACCTTCCAAAAAGTTGGAAGTAGAGCTGTGGCTCAAGTGGTAGAAAAATCTAGCTTGAATAAAAAAGCTCAGGAACAGCATCTATGTCCTGAGTTCAAGCCCCAGGATAGGTACAGAAAATAAAAATCCATCTGACTGACATGTTCAAAGTAATTTACTTAGCTTACCACAATATCTGAAGATAAATGCTGTCAGCATAATTGAAAACTGGAGCTGCCAAAGAAGCTGCCACCAAGATTAACTGAACTGCTGTATTTACCTTAAAAAAAAAAAAAAAAAGAAGTGAATGTCAGTGCCAAGTGGATCCTGTTTTAAGATGTATTCTTAGAATGCAACAGCCATGCCAAAGCAGCTGACGTTCCCGGGTGAGGACACCAAGGGTCAGCCTCACCCACAGACCCACCTGTGCACACAGCTGTCCTTCACAGCTAGCAGAAATACTACTACCTTGAGTTCCACAGCAGTTCAATAATACTGCAAAATTCTTTTCCTGGTGCCTTACCCAAAGCTCCTTTTTTACTTGTCTACCTGTCAAGTCCTATGAGTTAAAAAAACTGAAATACAGCCGGGCGCTGGTGGCTCATGCCTGTAATCCTAGCTACTCAGGAGGCTGAGATCTGAGGATCACAGTTCCAAAGCCAGCCCAGGAAAGTCCATGAGGCTCTTATCTCCAATTAACCACCAGATCATCAGAAATGGTGCTAATAGCCCAAAGTAGTAGAGTATTAGCTTTGAAAAAAAGCTCAGGGACAGTTCCAGACCCTGAGTTCAAGCTCCACAAATGACCAAAAAAAAAAAAAAAAAAAACCAAAAAAACAAACCACCTGAAAAACAGTAGGCACCCAATGGCTCAAGCAAGCCTCTAATTCTAGCTACTTGGAAGGTGGAAATCAAGGGTAATAGGTTCAAGGCTAGCTGGCAAATAAAAGTTCATAAGATTCTATCTTACTCAATGGCCAGGCACAGTGGTTTGTGCCTGTCATCCCTAAGTAAGATGCTCATCGCCCAGGAGGGCATAAAGTAAGACCCCACTGCAAAAATAAGCCCCAAGTTCAATTCCTACTTAGTACGGGGCCCATGGGGATGGTAGTATTAGGAAGGTCATCTCCAAAATGTATTACATCTTTGAAGCCTCTGGAGATAATGAGCAGGATTCCCTACCCCTAAAAGATAGCACTGATTAGAGAAAACAGAAGTAGATCCCGTCTAGTTCCAGTCTAAGAACACCATCCACAGATCATGAGAAGCATGCTGTGGAAGTTTGTGAATATGCAACAGTGGGTGATGTGTGTAAAGAAGCACCTTAGTTCAATTATCCACATACAACCAAATTAACAAGGATCCATCCCACTGTATTTTTGAAAGTACATGATACATTTTGTCTGGAGGATTTCCTAGAAGAATGAGAATTCATTTGGTGCATTTTCTACTTTCTATGGAGTGCTACATCCAAACTGCTGTGCTTAATACAAGTCACATGAAGCCAAAGCAGCTCCTATGTAACACACAGAGAGGCCTACTCCTACAAAAGCAACAATTCCTCTGCTCCACAGATGTTCAGCCTCTCCCATCTGTTAAATCTGTCATAAGGGCCAAGTCAAAAGGGTGATTTAGGGGCTGGGAAGATGGCTCAGTGGAAGAGTGCTTGCCTTGCATGCATGAGGCCCTGGGTTCGATTCCTCAGCACCACATAAGCAAAAAGAAAAAAAAGCTGGAAGTGGCGCTGTGGCTCAAGTGGTAGAGTGCTGGCCTTGAGCTGAAGAGCTGAGGGACAGCACCTAGGCCCAGAGTTCAGGCCCCACTATCGGACCCCCCCCAAAAAAAAAGGGTGACTTAGAAACTACACCAAGACTTCTGAGGAAAGGAATACAGATTAAGAGGCATTTATAGTATCCCTTTATGAGCAAAATATTTTGTGTACAGTCGTTATCCTGAAAGACTCAAGGAAGCAGAATGAACAACTTAAGAACAATACTTATTAGGAAATAAAACTCTACAACCCCCTTTTGCAAGAAAGCCAATCTTTGTATGAAACAACTTTATAATTACTTGGTATTTTTACTGTAGGGAGTGAGAGAGGAAACTCCTTATGCAATTGCATTTCAACTCCCATCTACTTTTCTGGACCTATTATCTAATTGAAGGCTTAAATTCTCAGACCACTAACACAAGGCAAAATGTTGTATTTAGGGTCCAAAAACAAAAGGACAAGAAACTTGGGTTAGAGTTGTCTGCCTAACCCAATATCTATCCTCTCCAGTCAATGTCTTTAAATTTGTCCTAGTTTCAATACTCTTCTCTACAAGTTTTACACTCATTATAAAAAATCCACAAAGGAATAACTGGAACATTGCTTGTGTCTCTTACCTTGCTGATGAACGTTGGTTTTAACCTAGCAGTAGCATAACAAGGATTGAAATACTTAGCTAGTGTTCTCTGGCAAAAAGACAAGAGAACGAGAGAGTTTCAATTTATTGTTCAAGTTTAAAACAAACACTGCTATTTATAGCTGTAACAGCTGCTGAATATTTACCATATATGCCTGGCCGTTTACATGCATCTTCCTTATATTAAATGAGTGGTATTGACATTCTTTTCAAATCATACATAGGCTATTGAAAATAAGTCTTTACAATTTATAATTTTTTCATTCCTCCATTACCCATAAAATTCTAATAGCTATCAAAAAGTTTGCTTAACCACATATCTTTTATCAAATTCAATGAAACTTCTTTACCTCTTATTTCTTTCATAGTTCTATTTTTTACTGGACTGGAAAGCAATAGTGGTTACCATGAGATGCTTAGGCACTCAAAATGTTCACAGAACCAATGAAAGGGTGTTATCAGCAAACAACTCACGCTCACACCCCGTGGATTTTAAAAACCAGCTCTCAATCCATCACAGAGGCTAGAGGTTAGTAAGACAGCAATAGGGCTTGGGGCTCTGTGAAACACCTCCAAAGATGGCATAAGTCCTTTTAATATTGCTTCTAAGTCCTTTTAATATTGACTAGTCACATGTTCACTAAATAACTATCTCAGTGCAATTCAATCAGCAGGGTATAAAACTTCTGGCTATAAAACTCCTGTTCAGAAATCAGTAATAACTGCCATGAATTCTTCTTGCAAGTTAAATAGCATATAGTAGAACAGATCTTTAAATTTTTGCTTTAAGTTGCGAGTAATGCAAAAAGAATATTTTCTGAAACAAACTCACGGGTGTTGGAAGAGTTCGGTATCTGACATAAAAAACAGCAGCGATCAACATTACATCTCTTGAAATTATCATATAAGTAAGTGGAACTGAAAATCAAATACAAAAAAAATGTAATGAGGACTTTGAAAAGTATAGACATATTTCTATAATAAAACCTTATTTTAGTTTTACCACAAACTGATGTTTTTCACAATGAAAATTTATTTATTGATTTAGTATCCCTCTGCAGTAAGAACCAGTGTGAGTGAGTGTGAGTGTGTGTGTGTGTATGTGTGTGTGTGTGTCTTAGAGCTGGAACTCATGGCCTGGGCAATGTTTTTCAGATATTGGAATATTTGCACTGACATGGCACATTTGACTTTACCAGTTGAGAAACCCTAACCAAATGTTCCATATATCCAAGTCTGAGGATATTCCTGTCATTGCAGGGTGCCCCTCATAGGACTATATCCTTCTCTACTATAGGAAGTTCTACCCACAAACCTGTACCTTCTGTAAGAAAAAAAAAAATGTGTTCCTTTTTGCTAGGCAGGAGCTTTCCCTACCACTTGAGCCAGCCTGGTTTATCCTCCTAGCCACACTTCCCACTGTAGCTGGGATGAATGACATGTGCTACCACATCCAGTTTTTTCTGCTGAGATGAGATCTTCTGACCTTTTTTTGCTGGGGGTTGCATGGAACTCTGATTCTCCCAAGTCCAGCCTGAGGAACTGGGTTAGGCATGTGCTACCATGCCCAGCCATTAGTTGAAATGGAGCCTGGTGAATGCTTGGCCATACATAGGAGCTCAGTTAAGAATTTGCTGCTGGTGTTGTTCTGGGGCTTGGATTCAGTGCTTCATGATCTCACTTGGCTTGCTTGCTTCTAATTGGCCTCTACCAAGTAAGCCATGCCTCCAGCCCCTGCTGGATATTTGCAAATGGAGTGTCTTAAACTTTTCTTCCTAGGCTGGCTTCAACCATTGTTGATATTAGCCTCCTTAGCAGCTAGGATTACAGGTATGATCAACAGGCACCCCTCTGAAAAACATTTTTTAAAAAGCCAAAATCCAGGTCAGCAGAGTGTAGTGACTCATAGCTATAATCCTAGGTACTTGGGAAGTGGAAACTGGGAGGATTCTGGTTCAAAGACAGCCTGAGCAAAAAGCTTAAGACTCCATCTCAATCAGTGAAGGGGGGAAAAAAAGCTGGCCACAGCAGTGCATGCCTGTCCTATGTGGGAAACACAAAGAAGGTCACATTCCAGGCCAGCCAAGACATGAATGTGAAATCCTATTTGAAATCAGCAAAAGCAAAAAGGGGATGGGAACATTGCTCAAGTGCTCAGTGCTTGCCTGACAGGCTCAAGGCCTTGAATTCAAACTCTACTACTGAAAAAAAAATTCAGAAAACAAAAACAAGAACCCCAGAACTCGGTTCAACTTGTTTTAACTACCAAATAAAAGGATCATATATATTCCTTTCTTACTACCTTCAAATGATGCATACATTATTTGAGACTGATTTATGGTGTCCTCCAGTTCTGACATTCTATTGGCTCTGCATTTTGAATACTATCTCACCAATTAATTACAAATTTAAACTTTAAGTCTCTACTGGTTATAGTTGTTGATCTTTGGCCTAGTCTTCTAAAAGATAGCACTATTACAACAGCAATTTGGAACAAACAAGACATAACTGTATTAGGCTAGGGAAAAAAATCAATGATTTTTAGTAGCACTATTATAATGTTATAAAACATTTTTCTTTGATCGGCTGTGGGGCCTGAACTCTGGGCCTGGGTGCTGTCCCTCAGCTCTTCAGCTCAAGGCGAGTGCTCTACCACTTGAGCCACAGTGGCACTTCCCATTTTCTGGTGGTAATTGGAGATAAGATCTCACGAACTTTACTGCCGAGGCTTTGAATGGCGATCCTCGGATCTGAGCCTCCTGAGCAGCTAGGATTACAGGAGTGTGCTACCAATGCCCAGCTATAAGACATTTTTTAACCTTATAAAACTTTTCTATAGTAACTATTACCTGGTAAACTCTGAACACACAATTCACATTATTAAAATTTAACAAACCCATGCAAATTAAAAATCAATGTATGGTAAACACGCAAGCCTGCATCTGTGCAGGAAGGTAGGTCCATGGAACTCAGATTTGCTTGGGGCAGTGCACTAGGCTCTAACTCAGCAATGTGAGCTAGCAACAAACATCTCTGGACTCATTTTACTACCTGCAACTGCCTGAGGTAACAAATGTTTCTGGGTGAAACATTCAATTCATCAAGAAGATACAAGTCCAATGTATATGCATTTAACAGCAAGACTACAAAAGATAATGAAGCAAAATTACAACTGAGAAGGAAAATAGTGAAAAATTAGACACATAGAAGGGAATGTTAGCCCATTCTCAGTAACTAAGAAGCTGATCAAAAGATGAAAAAAGAAAATAAATGGGAGATTCAAGTGAATGCAGAAGCTGTGTATATAATTCAAGGAGAATCACAGCCCAGGGAAAATATACATGTGATCTTAATTGTAACAGAAAAGGCTGGATATGATGGAGTATATCTGTCATCCCAGCTACATCAGGAAGTGCAACAGTAAAAACTACATATGTCTTCGGTAAGAGTCTCATGGGCTTTCCTGACCCAGCTGGCTTCGAACTGTGATCCTCAGATCTCACAGATCTCAGCCTCTTGAGTGGCTAGGATTACAGGCATAAAGCATCAGCATGTTTTATTTAAAGAGAGAAAAAATTTAAAAAGACCAACTAGGGGGAAAAAAAAAACACATTTAAAGATTTCTAATTCAAAACATAATCACATAGAAAAGAAAAGGTATGGGAGTGATATAAGACTTCTATCGCAAGATGAAATCTGGACCCTGTAGAACAGAGTCCTCAAAATTCTGAGTGAAAATAATCAGGTTGAAAAACTGTATGGAAAGTAGAATAAAAGAACACTGCATGGTTCAACTGTATGAAGGTTAGAATAAAGACATTTTAGATGCCCTAGACTTTCAAAAAATGTTGCTGCCAGGCTGCATCCTTTTACAGAAAACAATTGGAGGATGCATTCCACTACAGGGAGCACTTAGCCAAAAAGAAGATATGTAACATAAAGGAAAGAAAATGGAAACAGTGAGAATCATAGTGAAGAAAGTCCCAGCTTGGACTTAAGTGAAGCAAAATTCCATGCAAAAAGCTAGACATAATTTCTATGTTTAACAGGACAAGGGACTGGCCAGTCTGAACAAAGTTAAAAACACATGTTCTACAAAAAGATGTAATAAATTCTGAATGTCCACAGAATACTCTATCGGATTTTTTCCTAAAAATTATTTACATTTTCACAATTAGAGTGTCCCTTCCCTTCAGTCCCAAGAATCACATTCATACCCCAATTCTAACTTCCAAAGCAGCACACAAAAACAATTCAATTAATTTTTACTTTGGTTTGGGAACTCTGAAGGTTAACACACCCCTGGCATGTCTTCCTACCAATGTTGGTAATGATAGACATCAAGGGCCAAATGGCAGCTGCTGTGTTCTAAGAACTTAGAAATAGTTCTAAGAAGAAAAATAGTTCTAGAAGAAAAACCAGATTAGCCTGGATTGAGAAAGGAAATCTGATTGAGAAAACAGCTGAAGTAGAAAGTGAACATATAGAAAAGCACGTTCAATACAGAAAGCCAAAGATCATAAAATTCTAGCTAGAGTAAATATTCAGAAAATGCACCTGGATGTATGATTGGAAATTATTTAAGCGTCTAGTAAGGTGAAATTTTATGCGTATCCTCAGAAATCCACAGTTCTTATTATGATTAAACTGTAGTAATTAGGGAAACACTACGTTACTTTCAAAGCACTAGGTATTAAAATATTTTATATAATATTAATAATTTGCCCCATGAATTAGAATGTGTTTTGTGACTTTAACTAAATATCACTATCTCACAAAACTATAAATTTGTGAAATCTGTGTAATCACTTAATCACAATAAAAAATATAATTAAAATAAAAAAATACAGCACCAAAAGATTCTAGAGTATTAAGAATTGTCACTGTGAAATTTTTACTAAATTTCAATTGTAAACAATTTTAACTAGGACATTAATTATAAAACAGCTTGACAGCAAAAACAGTTTAAAATTTGGGAAACAGTTTAAGTTGAAAAATATATTTTGGGAACAAAAATTGCATGTTTCAAGAGAAATGCTAGGCTGATTGGTGTCCTTCTCCCCTGTTCTATTTAAAAGTACGCATGATGGCGTCTCTTACCTGGAATAAGGTCTGCATAGGTCAAGCTAACATATAAGATACTGATAAGTATTTTATCAGCAAGTGGATCAAGAGCACTTCCCAAAGCTGATTTTTGATTGGCCCAGTTTCGAGCAATAAATCCATCCAACTGAAAATAGAAGTGTTTTTTATAAATGGCATGATAGGAATAGAGTATATCTTGAAGCTTAAGAGATACTAGAATAATAACTATACTTTCATAAAACGTTAATATAAATTGCTTGTTTTTTACAAATGCCTTTTTTATGGAGATACATTTAAATTAGCAGCTGACCTAAAAACAATTTCCTGTTTTTCTGTTACCACCATTCCCCATTCCCCCTTCCCCCTAGCCCTCCCACTTTTTTTTTTTTGGCTGGTCATGGGGCCTGAACTCTGGGCCTGGGCGCTGTCCTCAGCTCTTCAACTCAAGGTGAGCACTCTACCACTTGAGCCACAGCGCCACTTCCAGCTTTTTCTGCTTATGTGGTGCTGAGGAATTGAACCCAGGGCCTCATGTATACAAGGCAAGCACTCTACCACTGAGCCACCTTCCCAGTCCCCCAGCCCCCCCACCCCCCATTACTTCTTGACTATTTTCATAATGCCCTATTATGGGATGAACCCATATACAAATCTAGACATGTAAGTAACTCATGAAACACTCCCAGGAAGCATGACTGACAGAGCCTCTTTCTTGGGGGCCTGGGGTGAGAGAAACAAGGTCTACCTAGCTTAGGCTGTCCCCAGACTTAATCCTTCTGCCTTAGCCTCCAGAATGCTATAATTACAGGTGAGCTTCAAGAAGCTCTTCATTTGAAGCCTGGGCTATTTTCACTACAATCCAAATATAGCTGCTTTTAGTTGGAGGGACTATCTTTAAGTGCAGGACTAAGTTTCACAACCCCTAACTACTTTCTACAATATGATCTACCTCCTTAAGTTATAACAATATTTTCAATTTTAAAATTTACTTGTTCAGTATCACTATTAATTCTATGCTCTGACTATACTGGTATTACCTGTAGTGGATTAACAGCTGCCTAGTTAAAGTGTTGATACTTACATGATTAGTTTAATTTGATTCACCAGAGCGTTAAATAATGACTGGTTGATAGCACTGAAATATTTGAAATCTTACCACAAAAACCTAGATATACTACCTAACATGAGGAAAGGAAAGATGTGGTCACCCTGGAGTCAAAAAAAAAAAAAAAAAGACTGAGAACAAGTACTGCCTATGCATGCTACACAAGCAAACAATTCTTAGTTCACCCCAGGAACTGACTTCAATCTTCAGCAACTGTTTAAATTTTTTCTATTTGTTTCTAAAAGAAGAGCCGATTAATTCAGATATAATTAAGCCCTTTTACAGGATAAGCAAGTCCTCCATATCCAAGTACTGCAGTGACTGAAGGGAGATAGCAGTGGTACAGGACAGTGATAACAACTTGCTCTCTGCAGCAGAACAGAACTGCTTCAAGTCTTGGCTCCTGCCTGTATTACCTTGGGGAAGTTACTTGGTTTCTCTTTGAGTTTCCTACCTACCAAAGAACCATCGGCACAAAATGTGACGATCATTTGTATCCAGTGCTTAGCGCTTGGTAAATCCTCAAAAAAAGAGCAGTCATTAGATATTATACCACCACTGGAGCAATCTATTTTCTATTTTGAGTGTGTGTGTGCATGCACATACGCAGGTTCTGGGGCTTGAACTCAGGGCCTGGATGTTGTCCCTGAGCTTTTTTTTTTTTTTGGTTGGTCATGGGGCTTGAACTCTGGGGCCTAGGCACTGTCCCTGAGCAGTTCAGCTCAAGGTGAGCACTCTACCACTTGAACCACAGCGCCACTTCCAGCTTTTTGGTGGTTTATTGGACTTTCCTGCCCAGGCTGGCTTTGAACCACGATCCTCAGATCTCAGCCTCCTTAGTTACTAGGATTACAGGCATGACCCACAGGCACTTGGCATCCCTGAGCTTTCATGCCCAAAGCTAGTGGCTCGAACACTTCAGACACAGCTCCACTTGTGTGTGCACGCATACGTGTGTGCATTTTTTAAATGTTTAATTGGGGATAAGGGCCTCACAGACTTTCCTGTCCAGGGTTGGCTTTGAACTGTGATCCTCAGAGCTCAGCCTCCTGAGTAGCTGGGGATTACAGGGGTGAGCCACCAGTGCCTGGCTGCAATCTATCTTCTTCAGTGGAACTCAGGTACTACTGTCTAACAAAGTGTCTGGAATGAATGGGGAGTTGGGGCCTTGGAAGCTGTAGCTGTCAATTCAGTTTCTGACCTCAGAGAAGCTAGTTCTCACTTTTCAGATTCACCACTCTTCCTAGCCTCATTGTTATTCTAACCCATAGGCAATCTCAAGATCACCATTTTATAAACATCTGCAACTTCACAACATCTCAACCCTGCCACAAACTAAGCGTGTATCTTGGGCCTGAGCACTGTGTAAGAAACGAATGTGCTGCCCAGTCTCACTTCCAATTCATGACCACAATCTCCCTTGGACACACATGCACTCTATCCTCCACCTCTCTTTTGAATTTACCCTCTCACCTCTGACCAACTTCATCTTTCCTAGGACCTCCATTCTAGTCCATGTCTGTCTATATTGTCCTGGGGAGGGGAGGGGAGAATCACAACAAAAATTATCAGCACCTCCTCATGTTCCCAACATCAACCCCCACACTGCTCATTCTACCTACCCTTTCCTCCCACTTGCAAGTTTTGTCTCCTGCCTTCCCTTCCCCATCTCCCTTGCATCAAGCTCTCCTTTCCTACCCCATGTCTATTAATTAGCTAAAACAAAAATTCCTCAGACATATACTTATAAACAACTTTAGCTAGACTCTATTTTTCTACTCTCCCAACTTTACTAATACATTCAATACTCAACTGATGCCTTATCACAATTCTCCCCCCGCAGTGCTTGCCCATCCCAGAAAATGTTGGTTGCTCCACTCATCTATCTGGCAGCTGGAAAGAGAGGAAAAAGGAGCAGCCTGATGTTTCTACCTCATTCCTTTTTACTCCACATAGCCAAACTACCCACCTATCAACACTGTCCAAAATATTATATGAAACCATCAACTTTAGCTCTAAACCCAACTCAGTCCACGCTACCACCTCTCTCCTAGGCAAGCCTCTCTGCCCAGTTGCTATGCTTCTACGTTGGCCTCCTGTAGTGAAATAGGTGAGGCAGGGCCATCTGCACAGAAGCCAATCTGTGAGCGTCAAAATCTCCACAGAGTAAGTGTGCAACCTAGTACGTTAGCTACGTTTCCATATCTAGCATCTAATACATTTTTAAAAATGGTAACAAGGTCCTCTCCCATTCTGTGAATATTGCAATCTCATGTGGCAGTTAAACCTCTACATCCTCCAAAACAAAAAGAAAAACAAACCCACAAATCAGCAGTAGAACATGAAAGGTGAATCCAATAATGAAAAAAAACCTTTTGTCTATTAGATAAAAAAATTCATTATCAATATAAAGGTCTTTGACAGGCTTGGAAGTCCACTAATGAGAAGAGACTTTCAGGTTTTAAAGATAAAAGTAGGCACATATACAAAAAAGAGGAGATTGTGAGAATGGGAAGATTTGGAGGCAAATAAGAACTAGAGTATGGATAAAGAGAAGAGCTAATTTGAAAGACTGTATTCGATGGCTCTTTGGAAATAGTATACAACAATGAATTTACCCTTCGAATTCTTCAGCTAATCTACAGTGCTTATAAATGCTACTGGGAAGGTAGAATATTGTTTATAATCTCAGAACAGCTGACATTACAAGGAAAGACACTATATAAGTTTTATTTACAGAAAATTAGTTTCTACTCTTACTAAATATATACTGAAGTGTTAAACATAAATGGTTTGAAGAAGCACCAAATTATTGCCTACCTGAGGGCTCACTCAGATCTCAGACCAATCCTACACAAAATACCATTTGTATTCCTATATGCTAATTTTGCCCTGATATGAAGTTCTCCCTCTTCCTTTTCCCCCACTTACATGGAGTTTTGTAAGTTATTTTTAATCCTTTATGGAAGAAGGTGGGTGATAAATGCAAATGTCATACATGACAGTTGGCCAGGAAACAAAAATGTAGTCTTCTCTATAAAACTATTTCTTCCAGTTCTATTTTGAAATCCATAATACTCTCCTCTTCCAAAACTGCCAAAGGTTCATCCTATTCTCCCCTGTCCATCTTCTGAAATAGTAGCAGAAGGAAGGATGCCCAAAGCCCAACCCAGACAAGATTTCCTGCTGGGTAGGTAAGAGGGGTGTGGAGCAGAATCAGAGATCCAATGCACAGGCTAACTCCAGCCTCTCCTGCTGACATTAAAGCTGAGCAGAGTTCTAGCTTCTTCTACAAGGTCACATTCTAGTGTTCTGGGCCATAACCACTAGTCTACTATTTCCAAGAACTCCACTAGGAAAATCAACTCCTGCTGCAGATCAGATCAGCGTATTTCTATCACAACAAATTAAAAAGTAAGTCATAAAGCTTCTCTCCACCACTTTTATTCCTAAGGCAAGCATTTAGCTCTTGGGAATTCTTAAAGGTAATTCTTTTATGAAGCAATCTAAAACCAAGAGTAAAAACTGTACCTCTATACAATATCATATAAAAGCAGTCTAACACAGATGCTAAAGATAAGTACTAGATCAAATTCATCTTGAAGATTTCCTTCCAAGGAAAAGCTGACTAAGGCTGTGCTATTTTGAGACAGTTGTAGAGACCCTGGGATTTGGAAAGGAGCCAAGCAACAATACATTTATAACTTACCAAATCAGTTAGCCCAGCTAAAGCAAAAACTCCTAGGGCAACATTGAAATCTTCTTCAAGAATCAAATAGCCCAAAACTGGGGCCAGGCCAATTCTTGTCATTGACAACATATTTGGGATTGTCCATGGATTTTCATACTGAAACACAAACATAACAAAATTTAAATGAAAAACCATAAGTTCATACTTAAACTACACTTTATCCATTTAGGTAAGATACTACACAAACTTTAAATTTAATATTTATATATAAGTACTCATATGTGTCGGTCTATCTATCTATATATACATATACATCTCAGAAAGTTTCATCACAATGAAAGAACTTTAAAAATATATTGAGTTTGAGTCAGTAACTGATGGTTCATATCAATAGTCCTAGCTACTCTCAGGAGGCTAAGATCTAAAGATCACAGTTCAAAGCTGGCTTGAACAGGAAAGTCCATGAGACTCTTCTATTAACTATCAAAATATGGAAGCAGTTAGGTGCCAGTGGCTCACGTGTGTAATCCTAGCTACTCAGGAGGCTGAGATCTGAGGATTATGGTTCAAAGCCAGCCAGGGAAGAAAAGTCCCTGTGAGACTCTTATATCCAATTAACCACTCAGAAACCAAAAGTAGAACTATGGTTCAAAGTGGGAGAACACAGCCTTGAGCAAAAAGAGTTTGGGGACAGCACCCATGCCCTAAATTCAAACTCTACAATCAACAAAAGAAAAAAATCTGGCTCAAACTTGAACAAAAAAGCCAATGAGTGTGAGAGACCCGGATTTCAAGACCCACCACTGGTATATGCACACATGCATGCACATACATAGACAGAACCAACTAGCAATCTTAGGCATTTTATTTTAAACACAGAAAATATATCCACCAAAAAAGTGTTCAATGTCATAAGCAGTGTATGAAGGCATGAATAAGGGGGGCCAGATTTAATTCTATAACCTCTGGTCACAAAGTTAGAAAATTACTAAGAGAAAGCGGAAATAGGAAGAGATGGAAATAAATGGAATGAGGAAAAACTGTGTAAATAGCTTCAAAACAGCCGTGGACAGATAAGACTTTCCCAACTAAGAACCAAGGGCTTTCACAGCTACCATATGGGGGCTTTGATTCCTTGAAACTTTATTTGGAGCCAAGCTGCTAGAAGCTGGCACTAGCAAAAGGGCTCTCTTGACAGCTGCTCTGAAAAACAACTCTTCTTTGCCAAGCAGAACCTGATTTGTTAGAGGGTATTTCAAAACTTCAAGCAGCTTTGGCCCAGTGGAATTAGAACAGACATTACAAGAAAGTAAAAAAAAAAAAAAAAAAAGCAAGAAAATGCCTTTCCCTAAAGCCTGAGGTATTTCCTCTACTAATCAAAGTCTGTTAATTCTACCCTATGGGACTTGGTCTTCAAAAAACCAAATCCTAAACTGGGTGCCAATGGCTCATACCTGTAATCCTACATTATATCTACATTACTTTTTTTTTTTTTTTGGTGTCAGTCCTGGGGCTTGAACTCAGGGCCTGAATGCTGTCCCTGAGCTTTTGAGCTCAATGCTAGTCTAGCTCTACCACATGAGCCACAGCTCCATTTCCAGCTTTTTTGGTGTTTAACTGGAAATACAAGTCTCTTCCTACCCAGGCTGGCTTTGACCCATGATCCTCTGATCTCAGCCTCTGGAGTAGCTAGGATTTGTCAGTTGTGGGACTTGAACTCTGGGCCTAGAAACTGTCCCTCAGCTCTTCAGCTCAAGGCTAGTGCTCTAGAGCCAAAGTGCCACTTCCAGTTTTCTGAGAGGTTTGAAGATAAGAGTCTCATGGAATGTCCTGCTTGGGCTGGCTTTGAATAAGATCCTCAGATCTCAGCCTCCTGAGTAGCTAGGATTACAGGCATGAGCCACCAGCACCCGGCTTAGCTTACATTTTTTTTAAATCAGTAATCAACTTGTCTGAATTTTAATTTAGGAGAAAAAAAACCTAGTTGAAGAGTTCATTTCTAAAGACACCTTTTTGACTTCCATCAACTACTCTGTAAGAAAAAGCATTCTCTAAAGATACTGCTTGTGTTTATAAGTGGAAGCCAGCAAGGAAGCACCTCAGCTTGTCACTGGGGTCAGTGGTAGCATACTGTCATGGGCAAGCTATAGAACAACTTCAAATTCTCCAGGGAACAATCACCAAACAATCCTTTACATTGAGATCTTCAGCTGAAAGTAAGACCACATTCTGAAAACACCCTCAGAATAGATTCCAAATTCAAGCTCAAAGACTAGAGTGTTTCAGAGTTCAGAGGGTAAAAGGTAAGTCTGTTGCCTACATTGGCAGAGTGTAAGTCAAATACTGACCCAGTGTTCCAGCAACTGAGAGAACCAGTTGGGAAGGGGGAAGGTAGGTCAACACTGAGAAAATAGGATGACAAAGTGAAAAGACCAGAAACAAACACTCAAGAGATAACTATGGAGGCAAACAGCCACATTCACATTGGTGAATAAACAAAATGGAATGTTGCTCCAACAGTGAAAGGAGTTCTTTTGGTCTCCCTATAAAATATCTCACTTAAATTTCGAAACATTAGACCTGGTAAAAAAGTTTTAAAAACTAACATGAGGAGAGCTAATCTTAGATTACCCAACCAGATAACCTGTGGCATACTCGACCAACTACAGCCGTTCTGGGAAGGTCTTCAGCCAGGATGAGGGCAACTTCAAAGCTTCCAGCATTCAAACCTCAACATGCTCTAGCTAGTAGGGGAGTTGAGAGCCCTGCCAGGAGGCGGCAGCCTCAACCCATGCTGTAAACGGATGAAAGCAGCACCGGGCCCGCTGAAGACCTAACAATTGAAGATGTAATAATTGCATGAGTCTTGCTAACATGACATCAAAAGCTCGGGGGGGGGGGGGTCTTATGCCTGGGAAGGAGGTGAGCAGGTAGGTGGACAAATACTCTCCTCTGTGGCCTAACAATACTTCTAACCTTTTCTTTTTTTGGTCTGTAATTAGAAGTTGAAGAACTTTTTAACAACTAATTAAAACTATTCTCCATCCTTAATGTGTAAGGTTAACAAAAGTCAAATAAGAGCCGCAGGCACTGGTAGCTCAGGACTGTAATCCTAGCTACTCAGAAGGCTGAGATCTGAGGATGACAGTTTGAAGCCAGCCTAGGCAAACAAATCAGTGAAGACTCTCATCTCCAATCAACAAGCAAAAAGCTGGAAGTGCTCAGAGACACAGAAAGGACACATGTTTTCTCCTATGCGGGCGCTAGATCGAAAGTTCACCGAGGTATGATAAACCATACAGGACTCCAGGCATTCACACATAGTACGATCGAAGGGAGGAATACTCTTCGAGGAGGAACACAAAGGCTCGATGCCTATGTACCTATCATATAACAGTATGTATCGAAATAGGGAGGGGGGAAGGCTGGAAGTGGAGAGAGACGTGGAACGTCAACCTTGAGCAAAAAGGTCAAGGGAAAGCCCGAGACCCTGAGCTCAATCCCCTTTGGGACAGCCTCCCCCCCCCCAAAGTGAAGTGAATCGAATCTGAAATTAGGTAAAACACTCAACCAAGGAGTCTGGGTATCTTTCTCAAGCTTCTCCCTTAGACGTGGCTTACACATTAAAGGAATGCTTTAGAAGACTTTTCATAGCTTTTTAATGGGACCAAAGTTCAGGACCCAGTGGGTCGGCTTGCCTTCCCTGAGCTTTTGTCACTCAAGGCTGGTGCTCTACCACTTGAGCCGCAGCTCCACTTCCAGCTTTTTGGTGACTACGGAACTTCGCTCTTCAGATCTCAACTTCCGGCCTGAGCTGGCTAGGAGGGCACGCGTGAGGCCCCCCGCATCCCGCGGGAGACCCTCTTCCCGATGCAATGCGCCCACAGCCCATCCTGCGAGGCGTGTGGATGGAAAGGGCTGTGGGCCCAGTGACCGGTCCCCAAACTTCTCAGGAAACCCTGGGAAAGTTCCGAGGCGGGCCTACCCGGCCCCCGCCGGTGTCGATCGGCTCTCCGCCATCCCAGCACCCCACCCCGGGCACGTACCAAGCTGGCGGTGCTCGACGGGCCCCAGCGGCCCCTCGCGGGCTCGGCGGCGGCG